ACTTAGGAGGAACCTTGAAGCTCTGAAGCTTAGTGGGAACATTGGTCTGGATAGAGAGGATAGGGAGTAACTGTTCCGTCGTTTTAAAAAAAATCAGAATGAGAAAGCACAAGATTTAAAGTAATCAGTAAAGGAAGCAAAAACAACATGAGGAAATCTTTCATGCTGTGAGCAGTTAAGATGTAGAGTGCACTGCCTGAATATATAGGGGAGGCAGGTTTGACAGGGAATTAGGCTGTTATCAGGAAAGGAGAATGATATGCAGGAAATAACTTCTGGAACCTGAAATTGTTGCCATCATCGGCATGCTGATGCTAATTACTGTGTGTAGAATCTTGGATCAGCTTAAAAGTGGGAGAATGATACCGAGTTGCTCATTTGGAGAAACAGTAGAGACAGTGGTCAGAATGGCCTCCCTCAGCACTAATCCTGTGCTGCTATGACAGCACAGTATGTGTAATCATCTTGAGGAGATGGTAGGAAATGCCGATGCTGGAGTCTGAGATAACAAGGTGTAGAGCTGGATGAACACAGCCGGCCAGGCAGCATCAGAGGAGCAGGAAAGCTGATGTTTCAGGTCTGGACCCTTCTTCAGAAATGGGGGTGAGGAAGGGGACTTTGAGATAAATAGAGAGAGGGGGAGGCGATGATGGAAGGTGGATAGAGGAGCAGATAGGTGGAGGGAAGACCGACTGGTCAAGGAGGCGGGGATGGAGCCAGTAAAGGTGAGTGTAGGTAGGGAGTTGGGATGGGGGTTGGTCAGTGAGGTGGGAGGAGCGGATAAGTGGAAGAAAAGACGGACAGGTCAAGGAGGTGGGGACGAGCTGGGCTGGTCTTGGGATGAGGTCGGAGGTGGGGAGATTTTGAAGCTTGTGAAGTCCACATTGAGACCGTTGGGCTGCAGGGTTCCCAAGCAAAATATGAGGTGCTGTTCCTCCAGCCTTCGGGTGGCATCGTTGTGGCACTGGAGGAGGCCTAGGATGGACATGTCGTCCAAGGAGTGGGAGGGGGAGTTGAAGTGGTTCGCGACTGGGAGGTGTAGTTGTTTGTCACAAACCGAGCGTAGGCGCTCCACAAAGTGGTCTCCAAGCCTCTGCTTGGTTTCCCCAGTGTAGAGGAGGCCGCATCGGGAACAGCGGATACAATATACCACATTAGCAGATGTGCAGGTGAACATCTGTTTAATGTGGAAGGTTTTCTTGGGGCCTGGGATGGGGGTGAGGGGGGAGGTGTAGGGGCAGGTGTAGCACTTTCTGCAGTTGCAGGGAAAAGTGCCAGGGGTGGTGGGACTAGTAGGGAGTGTGGAGCGGACGAGGGAGTTACAGAGAGAGCGGTCCTTCTGGAAGGCAGATAAGGGTGGGTTGGGCAAAATGTCCTTGGTGGTAGTAGGGTCAGATTGCAGGTGGCAGAAGTGGCAGAGGATGATGTGTTGAATCCGGAGGTTGTTTGGGTGATACGTGAGGACGAGGGGAATTCTGTCTTTGTTGTTACTGCGGGGAGTGAGTGTGAGGGATGAGTTGCGGGGAACGCAAGAGATACAGTCAAGGGTGTTTTCGGCCACTGTGGAGAGGAAATTGCGGTCTTTGAGAAATGAGGACATCTGAGATGTCCGGGAGTGGAATGCCTCATCTTGGGAGCAGATGCGACGTAATCATCATGTCACTTTTCTTTCTTTAAACAAAGGACTTTGAACTTGTGCATGTCACCTGATGTCCATAGCTATATTTCCTATTTGCTTTTGAACGCAGCAGCTGCTTACAAATATTGGTTTCCATCAGAAAAAACATCAAACTGGCTGCAAGTCAACAAAGCAACCAAGGTAATAAAGAGCAATGCTTTGAAAGTGGAAGAAGGGTTTGCCAACATGTTTCAACTTCAGGCTGACCTTGAATTCAAGGACTTCTTGGAAATTCAAGTATACAAATACTCAAAATTACTGAGAAACTACTGCTTCCAAATTCTTCATTTCAACTAAAAACATCAACTTGTCTTCAAAACCATATGCCTGTCACAGAAGGGAAATTGAGAATTTTAAATTGTAATAGTATTGTTTCTTTTGCCTGTTTTTTAATCTTTTATGTGAGTGATAGTGCACATACTCTCACAGACTATCATGTTTTTGAACCTGGAGCAAGTGGGTCTAATAAATAACATTTTTCATTTTAAAACTTAGAAAAAGCTTGCTGTGGAATTATTTAATTGGGGCAATCATTCTAAGGGCAGGAAGACAAGTCTCACATCGTGAACAGATTGATTTGGAGTAGTGAAATAACATAACCACTATCATTGACAGAATATAATCTGGGCATCAAGATATCAGGCATAGGTGAGAGTCTCAGCAGCAGAATAACTGAGGTGGACAGAAAGTGGTTATATTACAGAGGTGGAAAGAGGTGATTTTTCAATGCCACAGATACGTCATTGAAAGCTCATTGCTGGGTCAAATTTAATACAAAGATTGTGAATAGTTTTTTCTGCCCGAAACAGTTGTCTGGGATAGGGATGGCATTGGCAGAAAGTGATTGGAACTTGAGCTGAGAACTGAACACAATGACTGAAGTTGTCCCAATAAATACCAGTGCATCCAATTATATGGATACTGCATAAGCAGCCCGACAATTTAAAGATAGTGGAGAAGTTGAAAGAGGTAATGCTGAGGTAAAGACAACAAGGTGCAGGGCTGGATGAACACAGCAAGCCAAGCAGCATCATAGGAGCAGAAAGGCTGACGTTTCGGGCCTAGACCCTTCATCAGAAATGCTGAGGTAAAAGTGGGTGCCATAAACATACTTGTAGAAATGTAGGATCATCTGACATGTGAATTGTTCTCATCATGCACAGTTTTGTTCACATTAGTGTAAAAATGCTGTTTGACCATGTGAACTGCAGAAAGGCACAGGAATGCAGGAACAGAAGTAGGCTATTTAGCCTTTGAATCTCTCCTGATCTTCATGGTTGATCTCTGACCTAAATGAAAGAACAAAAAACAGTACAGCAAAGGAATAGGAGCTTCAGCCCATAAAGCCGATGTCGACACATGATGCTTTTCTAAATTAAAAACCTTTTGTCTCTATGTGGTTTGTATCTTTTTATTTCCTGCCTATTCTAGTATCTGTCAAAATGCCTCTTAAATATTGCTGTTGTATCTGCTTCTATCACCGCATCTGGTGGAGTATTCCAGGCACTTAACACCCTCAACTCCATTTCTGTCTAAAATTGAGGGAATTTAACAGAACTTTAGTGGTGGCAGCCAGCTGATAGGCACATGCAAGGCTATCCACCAGCTCTAAAAGGCTGCAGGTTTGCTAAATTAGTGCATTTCTACTCCTTGAGACAGCAGGTCACACCTGATTGGCTGGCATCTCTAACCACTTGGCATTGCCAAAGTTACTGAGGCTGCAGGCAGGCCTACACAGAAACCTGATGGAACCTGGATACAAGTATGTTGGGGCATTGTCAAAAAATTTTGCCATGTTAAAAATGGGGAGGCTGGGGTGGGCTTTAAAGTACATAGGGGGTAGGAAAGAAGAGCAGCTATCTTTTGTGCACATGTCTCTGGGCACAGGAAACCCTCCAAAGACAATACTGCATTTCTTCCAGCCATTTTAAAAACTCCAACTGTATTGCAGTGTGGGCAGTATAAAACTGGGGACAGTTGATATTTCAGCATGCTTAATCGACACTTTATTATTTATTTATGCAGGGTGGATGACCTGCTGATTTCGGGACCTTTTGTGAGCTGTGTAATAGGAGAAACTAATTATTATGCAGCTATTTATAACTATATTTTTGTATTAATTACTTTGTTATTTTTGTAAAATTATATTCTTATTTGAAATAAATTAAGAGGAATTATTTTCTAAAAATATGAATGCTAAAACTTTAATCTATTTGAGGCACAGATATTTATTGAATGGAGTGTAGGAATAAATCTGCAGAAAAGAAAATGAAAAGAATTGAGTTATAGAATGTGAATGCCAGCATACCAAATAGGATGAGGCAGCAGTTTATATGTTGCTATACGTAATATGTTGCTGCTATTGTTCATTACTTGAAGATTTAAGCTTACAGTTGTAGTTGTTTATAAATCATAATTGGTATTATCAATAAAAATATGCTTGCAATGAATTAAACCCTTAAACCTGCATTATAAGGGGCCTGGTAGTTATTTTCTCCATTGAGTCTTTTGCTGTTCTGGTGAGCTCTCACATAAGCGCACTTAAGTAACTGTGAACTTGAAGGAAAGATCCTTGATTCATGAACTTGTAACAAGCATGTATTGTTTTGTGTTATTAACGTGCATGAGCAATTGTATGCTTTTTATAAAAGGCTGAGAAATTGTGGCTCTGCCATCATCTGAGAGGAAAGAACAAGTTAATTAATATTGATGTTCAAGTTTCTTCAGAAACAATTAAAATACTGCATTATTTGCAATTAATGTATATTCATTGAAAATCAGGAATAGAAGTGGTTTTGATTCAGTTATTTGCCTGTGTTTCTGGTAGTCATATGTATTTGTAAAGGTTGAACAAGAGCAGCTTGCTCTATGGTACATTTGCAACACAGTGGGTAGATGGAAGTATTGTGGTAATGTCACTGGGAGTATGCTCTAGGAATATAGGTTCAGATCCCATCACAGGAGGAATTCAAATTCAGTTAGAATCTGGAGCTTAAAATGCTACTGTTTGTAGTGGTGACCATGAACCATCCTCAATTGTTGTCAAAATCTGGTCTGTTAATGTCCTTCAATCTGCCATCTTTTTTTTGGTCTGGTTTGCATGTGACCCCAGATTGTCTCTTAACTGCCCTCTGAAATGGCGTAGCAAGCCATTCCATCCAAGAGAAGAATAGGAGTGGGGAACAAATGTGATGTGTGCATTCCACGAAAGAAGAATATTGTGTGAAATAGGTAACAGTGCATTAAAGTATTGACTAGGGAGAAGGGCATAACTGATATAACATTGCTCTCAATTTAAACACACAAAATTTTCTCTGTCCAGATACCGAATATATTTGAGACGTAGCTTGGTTCACTTATGCTTTGTTTCTGGCATAGGAATTGATGTTGAGGCTGCAAGGAAAGAGGAGGAACACCGAATGCTTCAGGATGCCCGACAGTGGCTGAACAGTGGCAGAATCGAAGATGTAATAAACACCAAATCAGGTGGCACAGCTCTCCATGTGGCTGCTGCGAAAGGCTACTTGGAGGTTTTAAAGTAAGTGCTTGTGAGATGATTGAGTATCATGATATGCTGGCCATTGCATCAGTGAGAAAATAGCTTATGGCTGTTTAAATGAAATAATACGGATAGGTTTTGCTGCTTCCTGAATAAGTAAATGTGGCAATTTTGTAGTGAGATGATACAGGGGAATAAGCTGTCTTTTGGGCTGTTTTGTGATTTCTGCGACAGTTTGTTTTGTCCTGAATACGCCATACTTTTATTGGGTGTGGGTGAAGTGGCTGTTATTCATCTATTAGTCCTGATTTGAGGTTTGTCAAGCTATAGCTTATCACAGCTGAATTCATTCCTAATACCCAGACATGCATATTTTCCATCAAGGATACGTGGTTAGCAACCAGCTGTTGTTATTTTGCTCTTTCTCTGGTTCCAGTTCAGATGCAAATTGCAGTTCCCTGCCCACAAACCTCCTTGCTGTTCACCATACATCTGCTTCAACGCAGTTCTCATTAAAGAAACAAAGATTAACATTTTTGCTGAACTAATTGCTGAACTTAGTGTGTTCTGCTTATTCTTCTTGAAGAACTAAATACAAAATGAGTTCTCTACTTTCTGCAAGTATAGTATTGATTCTAAAGATTTTGAAACACATGGGGGAAAATAAAATCCTACTAATACCAAAAGCAACCTTTTACAGTACCCAATCAAAGAGAATTTTCTCATCTATCACTTCTGTAGGGCTTAATTTAACTAAGGCTTCAACTCCCAATATTGAGAATCAGATAGACTCTTCCTGGAGCATTCATAGAACTGAGTTTTTAAACTTTGTCAGCTTCAGATAACTTCTTCAGGGTTTTAACCAAATATTTCTGGTCAGGAAGTTTTACAAAACTCATTACACTGAGGTAATCTCTTTATTAACACTAACTAATTCCTTTTCTCGAGCCACTGTTTTCCACAGCCCACTTTGGCCAAAACCCTGCAGTGCTGCTCAAACTGAAACTAATAAAAATTATTTTTTCCCTCAACATGTTGGTATTTCTCCAATCAAGGATAAAAACGATTCAGTCCTGAACTTCGAAAGAGAAGTCAGATGCTCAACTGTTTGTTTTGGGAGAATTTTATGAACAAACAATGTAAAGAGAATTCCAATACTCTCCAGAGGTCTTTCTCTGGTACTGTTTTAAAATAAAGCAGAATGGCTACAGAAAGACAAGTGAATTGCAGCTAGATCAAATTCAAAAATAATTTATACCAAATTGATGCTTTGGGCTGCATGGTGGCTCAGTAGTTGGCACTGCTGCCTCACAGCACCAGGGACTTGGGTTTGATTCCAGCCTTGGTTAACTGACTGTGTGGAGTTTGCAAGTTCTCTCCAAGTGGTGCAGTTTCCTCCCACAGTCCACAGATATGCAGGTTACATGGATTTGCCATGCTAAATTGCTCATAGTGTCCAGGGATGTGCAGGCTAGCTGGGTTACCTAAGGTAAATATGGGGTTACAGGGATATGGTAAGGAGCTGAGTCTGGGTGGGATGATCTTTGGCAGGGGGCTGGTGCAGACTCTGAGTCTGAATGGCCTCTTTCCACACTGTGTGAGAATTCTCTGTTTCAAAAACATGATTATTATATTCATTATTTAAACATTTTCAGTTAATCTACTTACGTAAACCATATGACAACCAGGCATAGGAGCACAAGTAGGCCATTTTGCTCATCGGGTCTGCTGTGCCATTCCATGAGATCATGGAGGAGAACCTGCAAGTCATCTTTAATCCTAAAATATCATTACAGAAGCTTGGGTTCTCCTTTTGAGTGAAGCAGATTGAAGTGAAATTTAATAGAAATGTATGAGTTTTAAAAAGTTTAAATAACATGGACATTAAAAGCTGTTACCGCTAGCTGAATATGCAAGAAATATGGGATATTGCCCTACACAAAACTCTAAATCAATGTGTGGACTTGATGCTTATGCACTGAGCTATTATGGCATGCAAGCAGCTGCCTCAGAGGTTGTTGGAAGCAGAGGTAGTGTTTTAATAGACAACTGGATGTGTACTTAGAAGTAAACCTATACCCCCCTTAAAAAGTGGGAGAATGAGTCTGATTGTACTGCTCTACAGAGGGCTGGCATAGACTCAACAGACTAGATGACCTCCTGTGCCTTAACGATTCTCTGGTACTTGTTTTCTAGGCTGCTGATACAGGCTGGATATGATGTAAATGTCAAGGACAATGATGGGTGGACCCCACTGCATGCTGCTGCCCATTGGTGCAAAGAAGAAGCCTGTAGAATCCTTGTGGAGAATTTTTCTGATATGGAGGCTGTAAATAAAGTGGTCAGTTGTTTTTAACAAACTGGTTTTCATTTTTGAATAGCTTCTAAATATCTAAATTTTTGCATTTGGTTATTGGCTATGAATACTTTTTAGTTAGAAATAGATGTTGATTACAGCACAGGAGGTGGCTGTCTGGCCTATGTTTTCTGCACCGGCTTTCTGAATAACCAGTTCAGATAGTGCCAATGACCCACCACTCCCTATAACCTTGTATGTTCTTCCTTTCCAGATTATAATCTAATCCATTTTTTGAATGCTTTGATTGAAACTGCCTCGTCCATATTTTCAGGCAATGCATTCCAGATTTTAACTACTCGTGTGAAAATGCGTCTTATCAACACTCTAATTAGCTAATTATCTTGAGTTCTCTTGTGTTCTTGATCCTATTACAAGGAATAGTTTATCCCTTATTACCCTTACCGTACCCCTTATTTTGAATACCTGAATAAAAATGTCTTCTAAACTTTCTACTCACTAAGAAAAACTTGCAACTTCTCCTATCTATCGTCATAACTGAGTTCAGTCTTGGAACCATTCTTGTGAATCTTTTTTCCACCTGCCTTCCACCTTCAATGATTTATACACATGTACACACACATTCCATTGCTCCTCTGCCCCTGTAGAATTATACTCGTTGTTTTACTTTATTGATTGGTGTTCCTCCTATCAAAATGAATCACTTCATACTCCCTTGCATCGAATTTCATCTGTCACTTGCCCACCCATTCAACCAACTCTTCTGTGTTCTTTTGAAGGTCTGCGCTGCCCTTCTCACCATTCACAATGCTTCTGTGTTCTGTATTATCTGCAAATTTTGAAATTGTTTCTAGAAGCTTTCCACCACTGAAGTCCCTTAGTTGCTCAGCTTATCTTTACAGCCTTCTTTGAAAAAAGGATGTGAACATTTGCAATTCCACAGTCCAGTGGTATCACCCTTCAGTCTAAGGAAGGTTGGAAAATTCTGAACAGTGCTTCTGTAATTTTTGTCTTCCCCTTCCCTCAGAATACTGGTATGCATTTTATCTGTTTCTAATGCCTTCTCAACTTTTAAGTGTAGTCAGTCGATTCGTTACAATTTTCTTAGTTATTTTAAATGCTTCAAATGACTGAATTACCTCACCTTTAATCTTGATCTGAGCCGAATCTTCCTTGGTAAAGACAGATGTAAAATATTATTTAGTACCTCAGCAATGTCCCTACCCACCCATATATAAAACTATTTTGGTCCCTAATCAGGCCCATTGATCCTTTTACCTACCTTTTCCTATTGTTATGCCTGTGGAAGATTTGGAATTTCTGTTCATGTTAGCTGCCGGTTTCTTTTTGTACTTTCTTCTAATTTGTTTTCTCGCTTGCCCTTTGAACCTTCTGTGTTAAGCAGAGTTCTCAGTCGTGTTATCCACCTGGCATTTGTCAAAAGCTCACATTCTCTATTTCAGCTATCGCTCTTTAGTCTTCTGGGGATCTCTGAATTTATTTGCTTTAGGTTTCCCTTTGTGGGAATATACCTTGCCCCTGCCTAAACAGTTTGTTCTTTAAAGATGGCCTTACTCAGTTACTGCTTTTCCTGCCAATCTTTGGGAACATAAAAACTGGAACTTTCTCCCCCCAGTTTATTATTCTTGTATTGGATTGCTTTTGGTCCCTTATCATAACCAAAATAAGCCTTTTATGAGACAGTGATCATTTACCTATTGGCATTTGATCTGCTTGTCCCACCTCATTCATAGGACTAGCTTTAGCAGTGGTTCTTTTCTCATTGAACTGGAAACACTTTCCTGTAGAAAATGTTCCTGAACGTACTTCAGGACCTATTGCTTCTATATCGGTCTATATTTGGGTAATTATTACAGTCCCCCATTATACTATTCCATAATTCTTGCAGCTATCTGTAATTTTCTTTGAAAATTGTTCTTTTACAACTTTCCCACTAGTTGGTGTCTTCTAAACTTAAACCAAGCAATTTTTTAAATTCTGTTCTTGAGGCGCTGATCCTCCTCTATTTCGATCTGTGATGTTCTCCTTAATCAATACTGCCACATCTCCTCCTTTTCTTCTTTTCCCATCTTTCGTTGCCCCTCCCATCCAAAGATAAATACAGCTGGTACATCCATAGTGTCATGGAGTTTCTCTGGCAGCTCTTTCCAGATGAGCCATCACTCTCATCAGTGTACAAGACGGAGTACTATTTAGAAAGCTGGGTGCACTCGGAGGCATCCTGCACCATCTGCCTGTTTCTTCTGGATTGTCTGGCAATCGCCTATTTCCCCTCTTTCTGTTTACTGTTAAGCTGAACATCAACAAACAAGCTACCAAAGAAGCTATCAATTTCATTTTGAAATATATTTTACACCAGATACTGAGCCATCCCCTCCAGCCCCCACAAAATCATTTTTTAAGAAGATTGAATCCAATTTGATTGTACATTGTTTCAGCTGGAACAAATGAATCTGATTCATCTGCTTGCTGAACTTTCACCTTTTGTTTCATTCAGAGTTTCATAGAAAGGTGGTCATGTTAGTAGTACAGGTTGGAAAAGTCTTTTCAAAGAAAGGGCAGTGAAAGGCATTGTGTTTCTACACATGAAATTCATCATGTATCATGTGCCGTTGTAACATCATTCCTGTTGTGGTAACAGGTGTAACGAGAAAAATGCTACCAGGCCAGTGATACTGTTTCTTGGCTGATCAAAAACATTTGAGAATGACCTTGGATTGTCATTTATTCCTGAAAGGTATCTGGAATATGACTATTTAATTCAGTCAGAATCAAAAGGATGTTGGCATTTTTATCTACCATGTGACAAAACATTTTTAAAATGAGAGAACAGTGAAGAATGCATCACTTCAGAATATGTTCACTTTAAAAAATTCCTGTAAAGTATGTCATATATCTATTCTTAATTTAGCTTGAGATGTAAACTTTTGAAAACATTACTATATAGTTTTCGAATCAATTGTTGATGTATAGATTCTGCTCTAACTTTTTTCTAAGCTGGGCACAAGGTGCGGTTTTGAGCATCTAGATGTCTACCTGTTTCCTTTGTTCTCTTGGCAAATGCTTTGTCTTTGTGGCAGTTCTTTTCTCCCTTCTCTTAATTGCACCCCTACCTAATTAACACAGCTGAAATGCCAATGTAACAACTGAGCCATGCTGTTTCGTTAATGATAGTTACAATGAGTTATCTATATTGTGTTTGCAGGGTCAGACTCCTTTTGATTTAGCAGATGAAAGTATTATTGAGCTTTTAGAGGAACTCCAGAAGAAACAGAATATTGTAAGTGATTTTTTTTTTTGGATTTTCTTCCTTCTTTGGTTGGCAACATTTATCTAAAAATGTGCATTCAATGAAACTTTTTTTTAGCAAATTTGTTCAAAACAAGTTTAAAAAGTTCAAGGTATACAATATGAAATTATTGTCCATCTGAAGACAAAATGAGCAGCTTCTTAGAACCTTGTACAAATCTGCAATAATTGTCTGGTTTTGGGTTGCAGAACCAATCTTTGTTTTACACAAGTATGCAGAAAATGAGTCAAGTTAAATCTTTTTATCATATAGAATTTTTTTTATTGGTTCTGAAGCCTGAATGCAAAGCCGTTTCATCTACATTGCGCTTTAAATGGTCATTCAGCATTTTACTTAGTGTCTGTCACAACTCTTGCATAAACACATTTCTAAGACTCTGTTGGTTTGCATGTCTTTCCAGCTAATTACTGTAAGCCTATATTATCCCTTTCCCCAAACCCTGCCACATGTTGAGATTTTCTAGTTCATAGTAGCCTCTCAGACAGTACCTGACTATAGAAGAACTACTTGGATTCTGGATACTGTCGCAGGTTTTGTTAATTGTGTTGAACAGTTTATTGCTTTTGTTTTTCGGTCATATTTTTTCTCCCTGTGTGGTATGGGTATACAGGTATATGTGCCTTTCTTTTAAGTAAATCATTTAGAATCTTTGAAATATATCAACAGTTTGGAAGTCTCAATATTAATTCCAATTAATTTTTTCTTAAACTGCAGCTTCAATTTTGGCCATAAAATGGCTGTGCCATTGTCCGCTTGGGCTTCCTTTGCAAATATCTGATTGCTTAGGCTTTTTGCACTGGTATATTCTATTCAACCTTGGCCGACTGCAGTGAATTTTCATGCTCATCTGCACGCCAAATTCTTGGCTAGTGGAGGTATTGGCTGCCCTCATGACTGGAATTTTGGTTACCCTTCACCCCTGTTGTTGTGTCGCCATATTTTGATACTACATACAAAGCAGACTTCTGATTGTAACTTCACAATCTGATTTTTAGCTGGAATCACTTTTTTTCTTAGTACTGTTAAATCCAAAGTAAGAATTTAAACATTTTTGTAAAAAATAATTATTTTGCAGTAATGTCACTATATTTGTTAATCAGAGATAAACTCTGTAATCACCTGTTGTTCAAAATGGTTATTCAAAGCTGTTAAACCCAAGTGCAGAAATAACACATTGCATTTTGAATTATTTTTACATTACTTTCAAAGTCCCAAACATTGGCTGTGTTCTATCAACATATTTTCTTTTTCTTGGAGCAGAGACAGCAGTATAGGTATATCATGGAACCAATTACAAAGCAGTGAACTGAATATTTCAAGGTCCCCTGTAAAATCAGAAACTCGTACTCCAGGTATAGAAATTCCCACTGAGGGCTGTCAGGCTGAATCGGTGTACCTTTCTTCCTGAATGACAGACATAATTGAACTAAAATTTTTATTCCAACCCTAATGGTGTCAAAGTTTTTCTTCACTTTCCAAAAAGTGCCTATTTTCCTGCTGGAGTAATGCTGAATTCAAGGATTACCAAGCATTGACAGCTCTCATGTAAATGCAGGACCTCCCAGCCTAATGCTGCCAAACTTTAGCCTGATGTGCTATTGCTGCAAAGCCCAGGATTGTGTTAATTTTTATAAAAGTACAGAACCATACCAAGGGCCACTAGACCGTATTCTTCTTTTTCAATGCAGCTGAATACCTTGCAACTAGAAGATGAAAACTTTTTTGTTTCGGATAAATGGGTACAAGTAAAGCAAATTCATCTGCCATTGCAGAGTAATGGACTGATTTGAGGAATGAGGAGTTCAGTCGTCAATTAAAAAACTTGAAAAGTTGTTGAAAATTAAATTATTGAATTAGCCATTGTAATCGTGGCTCTAATATTATCTGATTTGATGCAAAGTCTCCGTTTATATAACAGTGAATTCTCTGCTCCACTAGTAACAATGCCATGGAGAATTCTATTAATAAAAGCAACACGCAGTTTGACTGGTTTTCACTATCTGAGAACCTGTCTGCTAAGGTATTCTCAGTCCATGCTCACTTTTACCATTAATCCAACATTTTGGTGGGTCGGAAATCTATTCAATTAATATTTCAAATTTATCAGTGACATATAGAAAATGAGTAGTCTATATATTATCCTTTGAAAGGAACAAAAGTTACATGTTTTATTATTAGAGTTTAAACTTGCAAGTAATTCTGAAAGTAACTTAGCGTGAAAAGCTTACATTTTCAAGGAGCTTGGATCTGAAATATTGAAACCTAAGCTATGGATAAAACTACATGGAAAGAAATTTTTGAAATAATATGTGAACAGTGACTACAGTTCAAATAAAAACAGAAATTGCTGAAGAAACTCAGCAAATTTGGCAGCACCTGTGAAGAGAAAGCAGAATTGGTTCAAGTCCAGTTCTGAAGAAGGGTCACTGGATTCTAAACTTTGCTTTTTCTCACTGAAGCTGCCAGGCCTGCTGAGTTTCTCCAGCAATACTCTTTCAGATCTTCAGCATCCACAGTGCTTTGTTTTATATTACTACAATTCAAATGTAGTTTCTAGCTGCAAAGCATTTTATGATCTTTTGAGGTTGTGATAAAATGCAAATTGATTTTAAATTTCCAGGACATTTTTGGAATGGGAGGATGAATACCTGTATCGATAATAAGTTCAAAAAAGGATGAGGTTATCCTGAAAGCAGAAAGTTATTTTGAAGGCAGTTAGGAAGCAAGGTTGAAAGTAGGACATCAAAGGTAGTGACTTGAGAATTGCTGCCAGTGCCATGTGCTAGTTGGAGGAGACATAGTAGGAAAAATCAAATAAATACATGGTGATGGGGAGGGTTTCAGATTCCTGATACATTGGGACTGATTCTGGAGGAGGTGAGACCTGTGCATACTGGACGGGTTTTGCCTGGGCATGACCACAGTTGATGTCCTGGGGGAATAATTGGCTAGTGTGATTGGGAGGATTTAAACTGAAATGGCAGGAGGATGGGAAGTTATACAAGGAGACAGATGACAGGTAAATGAGGACAAAAACAAAAGATTATGGGAAAAGAAAGTGATAACCAGAGAATTGAAGAGCAAGAATCAAGCAAGGCCACGGCATAAAATAGTGCGAACCAGACTAAGAATGTTCAAAAGACAAGCCTTAAGGCCTGTGTGCAGATTAGTCACTATAAAGTGGATGAATTAGTAGCACAAATAGAAATGAAATAAACAGGTATGTAGTAGGGATTACAGAGACATGCTGCAGAGTGAGCAGGGTTGGGAACTGAATGCCCAGTGGTATTCGGTTTTTAGGGAGCACAGACAAACAGGAAAAACTATTTGGTTAACATTGTTGACTGAAGAGGAAGATAATACAATTGTGAGAAAGGATATTAGCTCCAGTGAAGTGGAAAATCTATGCCCATTATCTGTTGCGGATAGCAAGTGTTTAGGGTAGAGGATATGATGGCAGTGGTTAACTGAGTTTGTATTTATATATTGAATATGGAATTAGTTTACAATTGTTATATGTTTTTAGAATCTGACATGTAGTTTGGTTTCTTCAATAGCTTCGTACTGAGAAACGAGCCGTGAGATCAACACTCATTGAATCAACTGTAAATTGCAAAGTCCAGACCAAGCACTTGAGGTATTTGAACTATGACAAATGCTCAATTTTCTGTTAATTTTAGATGCAATTCACATCACTCAACTATTGTTGTTTAACACATAATAATAACTTGTGGGTAATCTTTCTGTAAGGTTTATCTTTGTCTCCCTATAAACTACTGTTTCCAGAACTAGAATTAAATGGTAGCTAGTCAAATGTTGCATGCATTTGTTTTGGAAAACTTAAATGTTTTGCAACAACCGGTAAGTTGGCATAACGTAAACTATCTTGCTTTCTAACCTTCTCCAACTTGGTATTTTGCAGCAGTTCTATCTATGCAAATTATTTATTGGACAATTCAAAGAATCGTTGAATCATGCCTGTATTCTGGTTTTGTTAGCCTTCAATGCGCCTCACATCAGTTTTGCTTAGGTAAAGAGCCTTCAGCAGCTACCTCTGGACCCAGAGGTCTGAATGCAAGTCCAGCCTGCTCCATTAGTGTGTAATGATGTCTCTGAACAGGTTGATTGGGGGGAAAAAAAAGTGTTGGGAAACAACTTGATTTTGTGGTTACTGCCATTAGCTACAATAGAAGAGTACTGGATGATTTTCAACTACCAACTGGCTGTTTCTCACCTGAAAGATGGCTGTTGATAGTGCCAGTACCTGGTGTGGTTTTCAGCTAAATTTTTAAATGGGTGAGCAGTACAATCTCCTGCTTCACTTTGGTGATAAGTTAGATGGTTAGAAAAAAATACATATATCCAAGTTTGCTGATGATGCAGGACATGCAATATTGGAAGTAGAAGATGATACCAAAAATTAATTGAATGGGTAAACCAGACAAGTGACTTTCGGTGTGGGCAAATGCGAGATTGTAAACACTTTGGACCTAAAATATATGAAAGAGGGTACATTATAAATGGTCAAAGCTAGAAATGGTGAGGGTCGAAAGAAATTTAAGGCTGTAAGGAGTGTTGATGATCCAGATGTATTTCAATTAAAATGTCACGGACAGGTACAAAAAAAGATCAAAAAAGCTAATGGAATGCTTGACTTTGCATAAAGAGGACAACAAGACAAGCAGGTAGAAGTTATGCTTCAGCTGTACGAAGCCCTGATGAGACAATAACTTTTTCCAGGAAGACACATTAGATGGTGTGCACCATAGATTTAGTGGAATGATGTCTGGACTCCAAAGATTGAACTACAGGTGACAATAATTGATAAGTTGAATTCCCTGATTTGGAAGGCTTGGGGTGTTTTAACGAATGTTTTCAAGATGTTAGAGGGAACAAATAAGTTAGTTGAGGATAAACAATTTCTGCTAGTTGAGAAGCCCAGGACTAGGGGACCTGGTTTAAAAAGTGGAGCCAGAACTTTCAGAATTGAAATTAGGAAAAATGTCTGTAAATAACAATGGCTAATGGATTGGTTGTTAAAAAATCAATTACTCAGTTTTAGGATTATTAACCAATAATATTAAGAGATATGTGGCAAATTTGAGCATATGGAGTTAGGTCAGCTCTCAGCATTCAGTCATTGATGGAAACATTTCTTTAGGGGTCATGAGGAGATCAACGAAAACCTTGTAGTCCATAATATCTGTCTGTGTAACGTATATTCTTGAGGACAACTTGACTCTCTTGCAGGTCTGGCCTGCTGAATGATATAACATTACTGCTTTCCCAAATCATACATATACTTACTATGGGAATAACCTAGATACTGAGTTAAGGTTGGTACAAAGACTAATCAGTAATAACTGAGCAGATGTTTCTTAAATGCAGTTGTTCTTTCCATGAAATTATAATGACAATTGGCTTGAAATGGGGCCCTGACTTCAGGCCTTTACAGGGGAAATTTTCTAGTAATGGGTAGGAGATAGACCAACAGCCGATGTCCCAAAATGGCATTTTATTAAATGAAGTGCTCTGTGTTGCTGGTGTTGGAATTGTCTTTAGCTTCATGGAGATGATGTACTGACAGCACCTAGCAGCCAGCACAGGCTGCTGCTTAACCTGAAGAGGGGGCCATGTTAGGAGATGTAGCTCCTCCTGGCCCCAGCATTTCCCCTCTCTGTTCCTAGGGCTTTTTCCTTGTGATCAGTGAGCCTTGTGCTTTTCTCTAAGTTGAGTTTGCTATTTCTACTTGCCTGTCCAAAGGCACCTTTGTTTTAAGGTGCCTATATGGTGTCATTTTGCATAGCTGGAATTTCAAAGCCCTTAGTCCTCTGGTTTAAGAGCTACCAAAGGCAGCTATTTAGGACGGCACCTACAGCAAAATTGCCAAGGGCAAACTCGAGACACCTGTCCGAAAATTTGGCCCTTTGCATTGAGTTTGTTTCATTTGCTCAGCTGGTTCTGAATCCTGTGGTTGAGTAATCTGAGTTTGTGCTGATTTTTTTGAGGATATAAATTCCATGTGTTTTGAGGGAGATAAGGTGGGGAGGGGTTGGGTATTGGTGTGCGTGATTGATTGAATGGAGATATCGTTGGGTTCATTACTCAATTTTTAATTTAAAGGAGGACTAAATTCTGCGGCAAAGTTGACTGCGATTACATGGTGTAAATTTGCCTTCAAGAATAAGCAGCAATGCTTATGTTGTCTGGGTGTGGATATCGTGGTGTTGGAGAATCCAACAATTATCACAGCTAGTTATTATGAACAAACATTACATCCCTCAGGCTAATATCTGGCCCAATATTAAGTTATTGTGTTAGAACAGAGGAGCGTGCTTTTGGTGAAATACCATGTTTCAAGTGACCTGAGGTAAGATGGAGTTTGAGACCTTTATACTCAGGTCGCATGCAGTGATGATACCATGGGCATGTGTCTTAAAGCTGTACTGACATTTGAACGTGATGCACAATTCAACATTTCCGAGCACAACTTATCCAAAATAGATATACAAAGTTGTGCAGAGGCACATGTTTCAATTTGATAATTATGCAAACATATAAAACCAAGTTTACAAGGCTAATATTTGAAACTTCAGTATAACACTTTGGAAATCTGACAATTCATCCCAATTTAGTTATTGTATACTAGTCTGAAGAGGTATGTGCTGTTCTGCGTTGCCATCTTTGATGACTTGATTGTCTTGTTGCTGGTATCTGTCACTAAACATCAGTACACAATCACCATTATGGGATTGTTCTTCAACCTTCCATTCATGAGTGCTGTGCCATACTTTAGCCTGAACTTCCTCCTTCACAATGTAGTGCCTTGATCAACAATGACTGAAATGATGTGGATGTGATCTTGCATATTTTTGAAACCTATGTTGGGTATCCAACTATTTGTATTTATATTTCTGACTCTCACTCTCAAGCCAGTGTGCAGTTTTGGTCATTCTCTGTTCGCTTGCTTATCTCTTTCCTTCTCCTTTGTCTCTGAAGAAGAATGTGCTGTGTCTCAAAATGGTTAGACAGTTGTTTGCTGGGCAAGATCATTCACAAGCATAAATTAAGCTGGGATGGTCGTTGCAAAATGTAGCAGATCAACCTTGAGAATGTAGTCTAAAGCACCAACGTGTAGATCAAGTGGAATATCTTCATCATTCTGTGGTCTGGGTAATGTGCTCCATGTAAGACATAATTGTTCTTGTATCTTACTTTCATGTCATATCCTTCAAAATCATTCACTGATTCCATTGCAGCATGTGTAGTCTGTTCTGTCACAGTGGGTGTGGTTTGAAGCTCATGAGTTATAACTGTACCCAGGTCTTGGCATACTGGTAGTGCTGCCTTTGCTAGACTGTTGGTATCTGCCAGTTAGAAGATTTTGGGAAACCAAGGTGAGCTTGCATATTGGCACTGCAGTGAGATTCTATCAATGCACAGAATTGGTGAGCTGCCCAAAATGCTGTGAGATGCTATCTCATAGTCGTACTCCATGGTACAGCCTTGCTTAGATATGTGTTTTTCAGGATGCGTAGTGGTAATATGTTGGTGCTGGCTCTTGTGCCATTTTAGCTTTTGGTGTATCTCATCCTGCTTCTTCAGCACATAAGGTTAATGACATGGAAAGCTTGGTCATCTTCTGAAATCTATCTTTCACTTGGTTTTTTCTGTGTTTGTGTACCTTCTTGAGACTTTCCAAGCTGGTATGTTTGTACAATCTATTGATCCCCTGTTTTGTTTGGGGTCCACCTTGACCTTTGGAATCATATTTCCGAGGCATGTATTTACACTGCCCCTTAGTACTACATGCTTCACAGATACCAAGAAAGATGTTGGATAGTTGCGCCAACCTTGCATGTGTTGCAGAGTTTGTATACTTGTGTTTTTGGTATACTTTGCTAGCTGTAACAGTAGTGTTGACCTCAAATAGAGCATGTAATTATTAATGGACTGCCTTCGTCCTCAAATAATGCAACATTGTTATGGCCCCTTCTTGCCAGAAGATCCTTCTGAAAGCCTCCAGTTGGTGCAGAAGTGATGATAACTGAGTCTCTGACCACGCCTTCTTGGAAAAGTCACACTCCAACCCTTTACTGCAGCATTTTCTGACAAACTAGTCAATAAGCTCTTGGGGTTGCCACCTGAATGACAATAAGGTGGAATCTGATAATCTTGAAGTTAATTCTTACTTTAACCTGATCTTTGAGAGCCTTCCAGATATTTCTAGATTTTTCTGATTGACCTCAGAATGACTAGATGTGTCAGTTCTGTGAAGTCCATCCTTGCCAATGAAAAGCAAGATTTTTAAGTTTTCTTTTGGACCATCTCTTGATTTTTCTACAAAATAGAACTGGATTTCTTGTTTGAACAGTTGTAATTCTGGATGCCCAGTGTATCAGAGGTTTCTGCCGCTCGTGACTCTGCGTTAAAAACATTTGACTGTACCACTTTAAGCAATATATCCCCGATTTTGTAACCATGTTGATTTAAAAACTGCTCCTTCCTTAAGAATGCAGGCATTGCAACTTCTGATAAACTGTTACTTACATGTAGATTATTAGGAACTGAGTGTACTTACATCCAATTTCAGTGTAGCACTATGCTGGCTTCATAGTAAAGCTGAACAATGTACTTCAGCTTTTGTATTTTCGTTCTTTTAATTAAGTCCATCTTAGGAATTCTTTTGTCTTAAAAGAATATATTTTGATTTTTAAAAAATCTTGTTTTCTTTGCTGGTTAATGCCTCATCTACAGATCTGTACAGCTGTCTGTACTCTCAGAAACTGATACTGCCTACACATTCTCTTGTTAAGTGTTGTTTGATGGATCTTGAATTAATTTTCCATACATCTGACACCAGGATATTGGAACCTCTTTCAAGATGGCGGCGCTGCTGCCATGATGAAAGTTTCCCCCAACAGGATGCTTTTCCATGATGGGGTATTGCTATGTTATTTCATGCAGCATTTATTTAGACTGACTATTATGTACAAATATTACATACTTCAGGCACATACATTTCCAGGGTTATATTAAGCTGTTATTTTACAACAGTGGAGCATGTTTCATGTGCTCTGAGGTAAGATGGAGTAAGAGATCTTTATGTCCTGACGTCATATTTTGTGATGCAGTAATGATGTCATGCACGTATTTGTTCAAGCTGTACTGTGAGGCATAACAAATCAGTTCAATCAAAATTCAGGCTGGTTTCAAGTGCTAAAAAGTGCTCTCCTTTGCAGGCAAAAAATTCAGGATTCAGAATTTTTTTTCTGCTTAAGTTTGGAATTTTTAGAGGATTTATTTTTAAATAGCTTACTTATAGATTACAAAGAGTATCTACATTATACAGATATTTAAGAATATCTATTAAACCAAACAAGCTTGTTCACAAAAGTAAGTATATGAAAAGCAAAATTCACGTGAACACTTGGCAAAAATAAAGAACCAAAATGGGAGAGACCTCATGGTCTGAGGTTGCCTAGGTCAATTATGAGTCCAATTCGTGGTGCTAAGCCTAATTAAAAGTGAAGTGCTACTCTTTGAGCTTGCATTGCGCTTCACTGGAATCCTGCAGGCACAGAGGACAGAAATATGGTTAATTAAAATGGCAAACAACTGATAATGCAGACTGAGCCGTTCATTATTCTGGCATTTACATTCACTCTGGCAAATGTTTGCGTCTTTGCTACAACACTTAGCACACTTTCCGACTTTTGTACTCTGGCATAATTTTCATTCAATCCCTGTTGTCTGCTAGTCTAAACTAGACCTTATCTTTTGCTCTTTCTCCCCTCCCTTTTGACAGAATAAAACCCATCAAATTTCTATCCTCCTTCAGTTCTGAAGAAGTAATTTTCAATTCCATACATTAATTCTGCTTCTCTCTCTAGATGCTGCCAGATCTGCTGAGTGTTTCTGGCACTTTTTATTGAAACAAGGATGTGTGCAAATTATCCAGTGGACAAAGTGACAAGGTGCTCTTATTAATGCTCCTTCCCAAATTATGCTTCTGCACAATTAAATACTGGAAGATGATGGCTATATTCCTGAATATAAGATGGTGGGCCCACTTATGGTTGTCTTTATAAAAGAATACTTTCTGCAAATTCTGCACATTCCTTCTGCAAATCCAAGTCTCATTGAAATTTGGGCAGCAGAGCAGATCCATGCAATTTCTAGAAGAAGCTTTTTCCTATTGAGATTTATACCTCCACAGGTGAAACTGAAAAGGGTGTTGGAGTACTGGAATAACACTGTCTTGTACATAACTTCATACATTCAACAGTCAATCCTCATTTTGAGTGATTGCGTTTGGTTACCATTAGAAAATTTTTTTACTTTCTTTGCAAAGTTCACAGAATTTTTTCATGGTTTGTAGAGAAGACAAATCAAATTTAATAAGTGAATTTCAGCATACTTGATTTTGCTTCCCTGATTCATTAAGATACCTTTTGACCTTTAAATCCACTGCTTGCATCCTTAAGTGTCCTGACCATCTGGCTCAGCTAATGAGGAGAATATGTTTTCCAGCAGGGCTACCTCTAGGTCGTGGTGCTCTGCACATTTCATTCCGTGCAGCTACTGCAAGCAGGTGAAGCACTTTTTGGAATTGCTTTTCAGGGTCCATTAACTTGATGTTTGTCAATGGTGTATGTAATTGTGTGCTATCATGTAGCTTTAGTTTGCCTTGTCTTGCATCAAAATATTAAGTTTTGAAATTATTTCATTAAAAAAAATTAATCAGGTTTAGTAAGATTATTTTGCTTTTCTTCCCTCACTTGATTTGGTCTCATTTTAAATGATTTTAAGAGGGAAGACTGGAAAAGAAATTTACCTTTTAAAATGCACAGCAAAAAGAAAATTGCCTGTAATGACCTTCGCTAAGTTTAAACTGTTCTGAAAAGGTGCACATACCTAGCTAATTGCTACAAACTTTCTCCCTACGCCCCCCCCCCCCCCCCCAAAAAAAAATCAGCTCCTGACCTTGGGAACTTTTTGTTCTAACTGCTGTCTGCCTATCTTGTGACTTGGCTTTGGGATTTTGCATTTGTAGAGCAGTGTTGCTGCCTGTTTCCCAAACATTTTAAAAAAAAAACTATTTTGCAGCAGGTAGAAATTTTTGCATTGTGTTCATTTTGTCATATATCACATTAATTCATGAAATCAGCCTTTTGAAGTAATTCGTGCAGTTAACTGATTTTGACTTGTTTCCTCATTGTTATAGTAAAGACACTATCTTTTCTGAAGAAAAAGAAACAAAGTGTAAATTGTCTGAGCGAGAAAAACTCAATGAAGAAAGGAAGAAAGATGAATCCAGTAGTTCCAGTTCTGAAGAGGAGGATGATGCCTCTGATTCCGAGTCGGACGTAGATACAGGTAAGTCCGAAGAAAAATAATTTAAAGCAATGCAGGAAAAGTTTTCAATGTTTAAATTTTCAAATGGTGGTATTATTTTGCTTTCCTTTAACTGTCACCTTTGAATAATTTCAGTTATAAGGTCATATGGTACAACTTTGTACTGTGGATGTAATTTTAATACAAGTTAAAAGCAAATTAATTGTTGTAGTTGGAAATAATAAAACATAAACCCCAATTAAGTGCTCATTGTGAAAAACCACTTTGTTACAGAAAATGTTATAGAAATTGAATCTTATAGGGTACAAGGTCATTTATTGGCCTCTCCCTATCCATTGACAGTGCTTTCTAAGTAGTACCCCTCCCTGGCTTTTTTCCATGCCTTACAACTCATCTTTTCCAAATATACATTTAATTATTTTATAAAAGTTACTTTTGATTCTGTACTCACCATCTTTTCAGACAATTTACTGCATATCACAAATTAGTGTGCAAAAAGTTTTTATAAAAGCACCTGTTCATCTTAATTTCTACCTACAGCCACACATCTGGCTGAGATTCTAATCAGTGATTTGTAAAGATTTAGAGCGTTTCTGCTTTTCATGCTGCCTCTTTTAGACTATTTCTGTGTTAGTATTGATTTCTTTTATTTGAAAAGAAATTACTAGAATTGCAAGGTGATAAGCAGTGTACTTTGCAATGAAGTGTCAGGTAGCAAGGATTTGTTGTTTGCATCCACATACTTAGGTTTAAAGCAATATTTGTTGCTGCACAATTGATTGACTTTTAAATTAATCAGATTCATTATATAGTTCCATAGTCACTTTTCCCAATTCATTATTACAGGTTTGAGAAAATTTGCTCAGCTTTGAATAGCATAGAAATTATCTGCACTTAAAACTCTGACAGTCGCAAGTTGAAATATCTAAAATGTGCCTCTGAAAACAGTTTTTCTTAATACAGATTGTGTTTCCCTGAAGCAGCACTATCTAGTCTGTAAAACTCTGCGATTCAGCTACCACATTACTTCTTGTTTCCTCCAAACTGCCCCCACTGAGAAAAAGAAAACAAAACATTTGAAGTTTGTAAGTTTGATTTGAAAAGCCAGCACTGAGTAGCAAGTAGTTATTACTGGTGACAGACTGGTTTTACTCGTCAGTGTTCTGGTTAGATCCCTTCCTCCCTCGGTCAACTCTCTTTTTTCATTAAGTTTTTGTGATTTAAGGGAATGTATGTTTGTCGTAAACCATGTGGTAATCAACTGTTAACTTTCTTAATTGCCTTTCTATCGTCATACATTTTTACGATTTTCCAGTCCACCGCAAACAGTTCGCCCCTCCAATCTTCATATTTCCATTGGCTTAGATTTAAGGCCGTAGATTTGAGTCGAATGATATCCTTTTCAAACTTAAAATTTTCTATGAGCAATTGCTTCTCACTCAGGACTCTGTTACAAAATTACCAATCTGCTGTTGCTCATAGCATAATACTAGATCTAAAATAACCTTTTTTTGTAATTGCTTCCTCAACATGCTGCTTCAGAAAACCATCTGATATGCATCCAGCAATTCATCAATGGTGTGTGACTCTATGACCCTAAATGTTGTAAAAACTGTTCTTAGCCTCTGCCTTGCAGTCATATCAGACTGTGTTGCTCTTATTTTTGCCATCAATTTACGTGCTTCATTGAGTGCTGCATTCATTCAGCTAGAATGCCTTTAATTTTGTCTTTTTAACATTATTCTATATTTTGACCTTGTTCGAAGTTGACATTTTGCACTCAAGTTTTGTTTGCATCATTAATTATGCTTCTTATAAACAACTTTGTTCTTCTCCCATTTGAATACCCCTTCAGGTCCATTCACCTGACAAGCTGCACTACTTGCTTAGCACTCCTGAACTATCTGGTGGTCATACCTTCTCCTCCCCCTCCCCGCTTGCATGCTTCTTAACTGCCTATTCACATAGTTCTGACTTTTGCCAAAGCACCATAATGACTTGAACTGCCACTCAAGTTCTGAAACTGGGAGCTCAAATTTCTGCAGCTGGTGACACTCCCTGCATGTGATCATCTAGGCCACACAAAATGCTCACCACTCGCCTCGTGCCACAGGATAGACATTCTACCTGTTTGAGCTGCCATGTATTAAGCTTACTCTCAGACTGTTCACTATACAGTAAAGACTAGGAAGTCTAACGTAAATTCTGATGTTTTGCACCTGAGCTTTGATCACTATCTAGGTATAGAGCTGGATGAACACAGCAGGCCAAGCAGCATCAGAGGAGCAGGAAAGCTGATGTTTCGGGTCGAGACACTATCTTTGATCACTGTCTGTTGTTCATATTACCAATGTTTGAAATTGTTAGAGCAACCGTCTGAGTTCTGATTGCTAACTTAGATTTTTATTGTGAACTATACCTCTTCTTGATAAAACATCGAAATGTGTTTTTCTTTCTCTCACAGAGAAGTCAAAGCCATCCATCAAAAATAATATAAATAGCAAACTGAACAGCAGAAGCTTGCAGCTAGCTCCAACCACAGGGCAGTCCACTCGATTCACAGCTACCACTACAACAAGAAAGGTGAAATGCAACTCTGATTCTGTGTTTTGTATAACAAGGGGCAGGTGAGCACTGAATTTCTTTATGCAGGTAATTAGGTAATTGCCGTAGACATTTATCTGTTATCTTTTTTACATTATTATCTGAAGCAATGTCATGAAGGTATGTTAGTGCAATTACAGTATTCCAATTTCATTAACAATTTGCATTCATATAAACCAAAACATTCCCACAATATAAGGAAAGAAGTGAAGGCAGAGAAAATCAAAATATTTGGAGGTTACAAAAATGATAGTTATTAAGGAGACTGCTAAATGCTGAGTGAGAGGTTTAGAGAATTTGCAGAATGAAGTTCAGAACGTTGCTGGGATAAAAAGAATGTGATTGTGCAAGGAGTAGAGCTTGGAAGTGGTTGTAGGGCTGGAAGAGATTTTAAAAAAAAAAAACAAGGTTGAGACCATGAAAGAATTTTAAAAACCTGAATTTTAATTTTGAGATGTTACCGGGCTAGAAACTAATGTCAAGAATGATAGATTAACAAGACCTGATGTGGGTTTGGAAAAAGGGCAGCAAGGTTATAGATGAAGTTGATGGCAGAGGACATTCTGGCTAGGACGTCTGGGAATAGTTTAGACTGGTGGTGACAAATGCATGTTTTGTGCATTTGAATAGCGTTAGAGCTGAGGGAGAAATAAAGGTGGGCAAAGTTATGGAGGTTGAGGCAGGTAGTCTTTTGTGTTGGTGAAGTTATTTGGTTAGAAACTGAGCTCTTCCTTTGATTACAAACAACCTACTACGTACCACCGACCACACAATATTTTGTATGAATACAGTTTTGGGCAGTGGATTGAATCTGTCAGCAGATATATGAATTGAATATTTTTGTGTATTGTCTTTGCCATTGATTATTTAAAAATCAGATGTCAGTTCTTTTTAAAGCTATGCAATGTCTACTTACCTATCATTTTTCCTCAGATTTGAGTATGGATTATCATCTTGTGCCTGATTCATTCCAGTGTTTTTAAGATATTTACCGGGACCTGAATTTTGCCAACAGTGTGCCATATTTTTGTTCCAAATTCTAGAGATTTCCAGCTGTAATGTCTGGTAATGCCATTATTGGAGTCTACCTGCAAATATCATCCCAATTTCTTGATTTTGAAACTGCTGCTATTTCTGACTTGCGAAAGAGGGACATTTTATGGTTATAATTTTGTTCTCAATGAAGAGCTAAATATTAAAATATTATAGCATCAATTCCAGTATTTTGCTTCTGTATTATGTTAGGAAATTCTGTTACTTTGACTGTTGTTCAGTGTGCTACAACTGTCTTTTTCTAATCAGTTTATTTTTGCATGTTAGATTAAGCATTATTTCCTGTATATAACCCCAGATGGTTTTTATGCAGTAAGATGTCAATGTGACTTTTTTTTTTTGCATTTAATTTTACCCTTTTCTGACGATGGGATCTTGGTTCATGATGAAGATGAAACCACCTCTGCTTTCAGTGGAGCAATAATGTTTTTTTAAAATGATAAATGTGCTTCAAAGAAAATGGACACCACGTATTGTGAGACTTTGGAAACAAGTGTCTCGACAATTCAGATAAAACTGTAATCTGAAAGGGCCAACTTAAAACAAAATACAAATCTTTGAGAAGGTTGTGATGAAGGGAATTATAGATTAGGTTGTCTAGAAATTTGAGGGCATCGTTAATGTAAGTCAATTGCAGACTAAGCTGGATAAGTTAAAACCATATTCTGATCATTTTGTCCCTGAATTGGTGGGGGTTGTGGCACCATGGTAGTGCTACTGCATCTGGGCTAGAAGATTCAAGTTCAAATCCCAACCACCATAGATATGTGTCAATACGCATCTGAGCAAGTTGCATAAATCTATGTATTCGGAATCAGTGCTTGTGCTTTGACCTGCCTGATTTGATTGACATAAGCTTTCCTTGTACGCCTGAATAAGCATGTGTTTGTATGTGTTCGAGGAGTGAGATATTTTTGATGTATTTAGTCAGACGCCAATTTGGAATTTTATTTTTGTTTGTACCTTGTGGAATCTGGTGTTAAAATGCATTCGTACTTGCCTTAATGTTGACTGTGTAATTTTTTTTAAATTGTGAAGATATGAAGTTGTTCCAAAGACCAATTAAGGCATCATGTGAATGCAAGTTTATTTTGAGCTTCGTTTCAGTAATTTCTTTTGTGATTGAAAGCTGGTTGCATGTGGCATTTTCTTTTTTTCATTTTTTAAGATCTTTTAAACCTTGTGACACCATTTTACAAATAATAAATTGTCATCAAGATTAATCATGAACGAAAACTTTTTGCAAGCTTTATGAATCAAGATTTGTAGAAATCATGCAATTAAAATTTTTACCTTGTTTCAGATTGTTAGCCCTTTTCTCAAATCTCCTGCCAAGGATGAAGAAGGTAAAGATGAGTCTCCAGCTTCTTGGAGATTGGGGTTAAGGAAGACTGGAAGCCATGATGCGCTGAGTGAAATTAGTAGTTCCCAAGCACTGAAAGAGAAGGACTCCCTTGGGATTATCCGATCTGCTTCAAGTCCACGTCTTTCAACCATATTTGATAACCGGGAAAAGGTGCAATTTTTGATTTTTTTTGCAGAATATAGTAACACATCTCTTTCATTGGTAGCAGTTAGAATTGAATATTGTGTCTGAACAGTACCATTGGTGCATTTTCAGGCATATGTTGTTTCCGACCCGCAGTTGCAGTTTAAGATAGTGGCCTGGATTTTCTGATGGCCAGACAGCTGTTATGTCAGTGTAAATGGGAGTTGTGCGTGTGCACTCTGTGGAATACCCATTGTAGCAGACTCTAAAGTAATTGCCCAGGAAAATGAATTTTTCTGCTGGGCAATTCGTCTCTTCCTGAAAACCTCTGAAAGTCTTTAATTAAATCAGAGACCTCAGAGGGTTCCAATGAAATTAAATAAAATAGTTACACAGGAAAGGTTTGAACATTAAATACCTGAGTAACTATTCAACAAAGTAATACTCATCTGGCAATCTACCTCTAGCACGCTAACCCCTTGCTAGTTGACATCCTATACCCAACTCATTTGGCATTCACTCACCCACCTGTTTCCCCCCCCCCTGCCCAGACACACACACACACACACACACACACAAAACTGTACCATGAAATCATCTAGCATCCTTCCCTGGCAGTCTACTTATCTGGCATACTATCCTCTCAACATCATAATGTCACACTTGGCTATGTACTCGCTGACTGACAATAGCTGTCAAGGCCTTTAGTTTTCAGATTATGCAATTCCCTACCGTGAAAGAGGCGTCGTGGTTTGCCTTCCTCTTGCAGTTCCATGCTATGAGCAGAACTGTCAGAATGAAGTATATCTCTGCATTTCTGAGGGAGTCCTGAGCAGAATCTCCTATTAGAAATGCAAAGTTCCCAATTGGCTGAGGATTTAGAAGTCTTTGTGACCACAGATTACTTATTGTAACTTTTTTTTCATTCATGGGATGTAGGCATCACCGGCTAGGCCAGCATTTATTGCCCAGAGACAGTTAAGAGTCAACTGCATTGCTGTGGTCTGGAGTTACATGTAGGGCAGACTAGGTAAGAACAGCAGATTTCCTTCTCCAAAGGACATTGGTCAATTAGATGTGTTTTCCTGACAATCGACAATTGATTCATGGTCATCATTGCACTCCTAATTCCAGATCTGCCATGGCAAGATTTGAACCCAGGTCCTCGGAACGTTATCTAAGTCTCTGGATTAATAGTCTAGTAATAATACCACTCGGCCATCACCTTGGATTTGGACTTGGTGTCACATGTATATATAAATTCAGTGAAAAGTGCTTTCTCATGTGTTATATGCAAAGTGTTTGCCAAGTACCAGCACCATGTTGAAACGCTGAATATAATGCAAGATTTTACTGCAGTAGAGTTTGTCTTTCTCTCTTCTTTCTGTTCCTCTTCTGCTGCTCTTCCAGTCACTGCTAGGGCTCCTGGGTCTCTAGGACAGGCTTTGGGGTCTCTGTTATGGGCCTCCGCCACTGCCACATCCAAGCTGGAGCCATAGGCCTGGGGGTGCGCAGGTTGCATACCTCCTGTTCCCCACCCCAATCTCCTCCAGATACTGCCACCGGTCCGCTGCCCATCCCTTTTGCCGATGCTTCTACTCCTTTAGGCCCCTGGGCCTAGCTGCGGACCAGGCTTTGGTTCAGACTACGAGCCCAAACTGGGGGAGTCAGCCCTGGACCTGCTCCTTACTCGCCGGGAGACGCCAGGCTGGGTTGGAGCTGTGTCCAGCTTGTCCTGGCACCACTACTGCTGGAGCTTCCTCTCTCACCTACCACTCTCCGGTCTTTAAATAACAGAAAATGAAGAAAAACAAATAAAAAAGAGCAAAAGTAAATGGAAAAAAAGAAAAAACAAGGAAAAAGAAAGCAGATTGTGCTATTCCACCACCATCTTAATTATGTACAGAACATTCTTACGTGAGGGAACATTCTTACGCGACCTTTGAATTTGCACCTGTGATTTGCTTTTTGAACGAAGTGTGAAAGATCATACAAAAGCTAATTAGTTTTCAAATCGAGAGAGATCCAGAGGCTGATTTTTCTCTATCTCTGTGGTATCAGTCGGATGTTGTGTTCTGCACATACAAGACTTAAAATCTGTTGTGCTTCCAATGGTTTCATGTGTGTTTCTGTGTCGTAAGTCTGTACCAGTCACGGTTAAGGACAAAAGTGCGGCCACGACCACAGTGTGGGAGACCTGCAAAGGCAAGGATGACTGCAGACAATTGGATCTTTTGCCACTTTTCTGTCTTACAGCGTATGGGAAAGAAACGTGTGTGGAGTACTTCAGTATTTCTGTTTACCATGTCTCTGATAATTTTATTTGGATACAGACACCATCAAAATGAGTGAGCTTCTGGCATGGCTACAGGGAAAATTGGCCATCACTAGGGTGGTTGTTGTTTACCTGTGCATGTTGAATGTTCTAACCCCTGTCCATGAAGTCGAGACAAATCCCAAGTGCCTTAAAAGATGTAAAGTCACTACAACTTAAGTCGTCACACCTCTACACTTTGATTTATAATGGAAAATGAACACCTGAGGTGTGTTTCAAGTGGAAAGCATGTTTTTATGCACTCACAGCATATATGATACTCATGCAGTAATAATTAAACAGATTTTTTTTTGTTGTACAGGATAAAGATAATAAAACTAGGCTTGTGTATGTTGCACCAACAATTCCTAACAGAAGACTACACAGCACATCTGACATTGAGGAAAAGGAAAATAGGTCAGTTCTGTTTCATTTAAAGTACTTGGCGGTTCAGAACTGCTTTACTTTTAGTAACTTTTTAGTAACTGTGTAGATGTAATAAAGTAGGGAGGACCATTGGGGGGGTATGTGTGTGTGTGCACGCATGCCTATATAGCATATAAATATTGTCTCAAGGTAATTCACCTTGCATACATTTCTAGTTAGAGGTAATTGGCCATAGTCCATCAAGGCATAATTGATTATACTGCTTTAAGAACAACGATCTGCTTCAAACGTGGGAAAAAGCTAGAGATAGGTGTCTGTGACTTACTGCACCCAGTATGAGGTTTGAATCTGCGCTGTTAGCATCATTCAGTACAGCTGTGTAGCAAACTGCGATGATCTAAACTATTTGCAACTTTAAGTGATAATTAGTAATGTGCTTTATTGCATAAGCATTCTTCATATAAGCATTGTCACAGTAACTAAAGATATATGGTTTTGTCAGAATGGAAAAACCAGGGTGAAAACTGGAGAGGCTGAATAGGCTGGAGCTTTGTCCCCTGGAGTGTTGGAGACTGAGAGGTGACCTTGTAGAGATTTATAAAATCATAAAGGGCATGGATAAGGTGAATAGCCAAGGTCTTTTTCCCAGGACAGGGGAGTCCAAAACTAGAGGGCATAGATTTAAGGTGAGAGGAGAAGGATTTAAAAGGGACTCAAGGGGCAACTTTTTCATGCAGAGGGTGGTGCATATATGGAACGAACTGCCAGAGGAATTGTTGGAGACGAGTACAGTTACAACATTTAAAAGGGTTCTGAGGAAGGGTCACCGGACCCAAAACGTTAACTCTGTTTTCTCCTCGACAGATGCTGCCAGACCTGCTGAGCTTTTCCAGCAACTTTGTTTTTGTTCAACATTTAAAAGGCATCTGGAAGGGTTTAGAGGGATATGGAACTAGATCAGTTTAGAATATTTGATGACATGGACGAGTTGGGCCGAAGGGTCTGTTTCTGTGCTGTACACTATGACTCTATAAAACTAGCATTTTTTGTCTTTCTCTATACTTCTATTAATGCTAGACAAAGGCTACTGTTAACTTGACCAGGTTTATGCAACTGATGGTAAAATAGCACTTTTTAAAAAATTAATCAAGGGTCATGGGCATCACTGGCAAAGCCACCATTTGTTACCTATTCCTGATTGCCCTTGAGTGGGTGATGGTAAGTTTCCACAATCCATCTGGTATAAATGCATTCCAGTGTTGCTGGGAATGGAGTTCTAGGGCTTCATTGACATTCTTTCAATGTTGCAGGATCTTAATCAAGACAGCATGTGTTTTGGAGGAGAACTTGCAGATAGTAATGTTTCCGTGAACCTGTTGCCCTTGTCCTTGTAAGTTGTAGAGGTCATTTTTTTGGAAGGTGGTGTCAAAGAGGCCTTGGTGAGTTGCTGCACTCCATTTTGTGTATGGTACATGCTGCTGCAACTGTGCCTTAGTAGTGCGAGGAGTGTACTGTATGTTCATGTTGGTTGACGGGATGTCAGTCAGGTGGGCTGCATTGTCCTGGATGGTGTTGAGCTTCTCAATTGTTTTTCGTGCCACACTTGCCCAGGCAAGTGGAGGGTGTACCATTCCACTTCTGGCTCGTGCCTTGCAGGTAGTTGGCAGGTATTGGGGAGTCACAAGGCAGGCTGTTCACCTTGGAATTTCTAGCCTCTGACTTCTGCTACTAACCACAGTATTTATACGGCAGGTCCAGTTTTGCTCCTGGGCTGTATTAACCTCAGGATGCTGATAGTGGAGTATTCAGCAATGGCAATATAGTTGAAAGTCAAGGGACGATCGTCAGATTTCCTTTTATTGGAGATTGTCGTTGTCTAGCATTTGCATGGCTCAAATGTTATTTGCCACTTATCAGCTCAGGCCTGAAAATTCTCTAGGGTTTTCCTTCATTTCTACGTGGACTCCTTCAGTTTTAAGGAGTTGTAAATGATACTGAACATTGTGCAATCATCAGTGACCATCTCCACTTCTGATCTTAAGTTGAAGGAAGGCCATTGATGAAGCAGCTGAAAGTGTTTGGCTCTAGGACACAACTCAGAAGAACTCTTGTAGCAAAGTCCAGGGACTGAGATGACTGGTCTCCAACAACCACAGCAATCTTCCTTTATACTAGGTATGATAAGAACTAGTGGAATTTTCCCCCGATTTCCATTGCTTCAGTTTTGCTATGGCTCTGTATTGCCACATTATTGATAGCTGCCTGGATATTAAGGGCCGTCACTCTCACCTCTCACCACTTGAGTTCAGCTGTTTTGTCTGTCTAGACCAAGGCCTTATTGAAGTCAGGTGCTGATTGACCTTGGTGGAACACAAAGTAAGCAGGTTATTATTGTGTAAGTGCCACCAATACCACTGTTTGATGACACCATCAATGAATTTGCTTTTGATCAAAAATAAACTAGTTGGTGGTAGTTATTGGGTTAAATTGAGTAGTTTGGTTAGTTGTACAACTAGTACTTGAGCAAAAATCTTTAGTATTACTGCCAGAATTTTGACAAGCATATAGTCTTTACAGTATCCAGTGCCTTCTGATTTTAACATCACGTGAAGTAAAGTTAATTGGCCAAAAACCAGCGACTGCAATGCAGGGGATTTTAGGATGAAGCCGAGATGGCTAAGGTGATTGCAAACTCTTCAACCTTGACATTTACACTGATGATTTAAGGTTCTTCCATCACTGCGGGTGAGGATATTTGTGAATTCTCCTCCTACTTATATCAGTAGTTTGGCCACCACCATTCACAGCTGGATATGGCAGGATGACTACAAAGCTTTGATCTGATCTGTTGGTAGTGGGCTCGCTTAGCTCTTAACTTGCATGCTGCTTCTAGTGTTTGGCTTGCAAGTTTTTCGTGTTGTAATTTCACCAGGTTGACACTTCAACTTTAGGTATGCTGGTGCTGCTCCTGCGTGCTTTGCTCCGCTCTTCTTTGAGCTGGGGTTGATGACATATGACCAAGTCATATGCCAGGCTTTAATGTTACAGTTTATAATTGAATAAAATTCTGTTAATGGACCATAACTAATCATGGATTTGTAGTTTTAAATAACTAGACCTGGTCTGAACTATTCCATTTAACATTATACTGTGTGACTTGAGGGAATTTATTTTTTGTGCGTTTAAAGGGAATCAGCAGCTAGCCTTGTACGAAGTGGTTCGTATACAAGACGACAGTGGAAGGATGACTTCAGAGATACGAATCATGTGGGAAATGAAAGCAGCATGTCTGTAAATGCATCGACCATGAACACAGTGCCTTTGTATCAGCGAAGGTGAGTAAGAACGGGGTTCATTCTTGCAGTTTAAGTAGAGAAAACTGTAAAAATACCATTTTATCCATGTTATTTTGTCAAAATTATGGTTAAAAAATCGATAGTTGAACAATTTTGTATTAACACTGGGATTTTTTTAGTTTGTTATTCTGTATTTTACATGGCCAAGAGTCCTTCTCAAAACCATGTTGTGTGCAAGTGCCTGAGATTTGTAAAACAGTCACTTATCTGTTACTTTTCTGGGCTATACTGTAACTTGATACTGCCAAACAAGGTCTTATTCAATCTTTGTAAAATTTTAAGAGAAAACATGCAAGTTACACTCAAGACGCAGTTACTTTGTACATATTTTTTTCAGAAGTACTGTGACATACTGCTGAATTTCAGTTGGAACAATGCAATGCTTTGTTACTGTGCTCTTGACATTCCTGAAGAGCTGATTAGTTGTTGTCGTGACTTTTCATCATTTATACTTTTAGTGAGTGATAGCACTAATACACAGATCTAAATTTGCAAAACCATGACACAGGATGAATTCAAAGTTAACAGGTTGAACTGTATAACATGCTGCTGCTATCTTTACAGATACCAATTAAAACAGTTCATGCTTAAAGCTGGATAGACAAGAGATGACAGTCTAAATTTGAGATTACCAAACACAATTCTCATGACTTAACATAATCAGCCAGTATTTTGTTACAAATATGTTTATAAACCTGTTCTTTCGACCAAGATTGCTATAGTTTTCAGAGAAGTTTAAATAAGATGGGGCTGGTTTAATGATGGCATGTACTTTGCATGATTTGTGGAAGAAGCTTTTACAAGAAGGGAATATGAGATAAAAGAGATACTCCTATCAGGAATAGTTGATTTTTAAATGCATGTATGCTCATGGAGTTCTAATTTTATTCCATGCTAACTTATTTTTCTTCCTGTTTTTCCTAACAATTCTTTCCTGTAACCTCCTGAAGATAGTGTTGCTTTATAAAATGCAGCACTTCCATTACCATACTCTTGTTTGAATTTTGATAATGAATGTTGATAGACTGCTGCCTACTGTATCCATTTTGATAACAGCTAACCTAACATTGCTATGGGATTAAACGCTGGATGTTATGATCTGGATAACCCAAGTATTCAAGAAAATCACTGAGCAGTAGGAAAGTGTTGTGTATGTTAACAAACTCACTTAAGTTATGGATTTCTGAATCGAAATTCTAAGCTGTAAACACAAATAATGCATTTTGGAGTGATATTAGTCTGACATTTGACTTGTATTATCCTTGTTACTCCAGATCCACATTTTGCAACTTTCTTCATAACATTACAGATTCTCTAATTCTGGTTCAGTTGTTTCAAACTTTGTGGATAACAAATCCTCTCTGTTTTGTAACTTTCCTCAATAATTCTTACAGAAATCTATTAATGAAGTATTTCTTTTCTGCTGTGTGAAATAGTAAACTTTTGGGAAAATAATTATCTGCAGACCAAATTGTAAGTATATTTTAGCCTTTTGGATGCAACAAGAAGGGGAGTGTTTGTCTCTTGAGGAGGTCCATGTTCTTGACTGATTCCCTCAATTTTGACTTTCTCTAGAGGACAAGTTTCACCAGTTTTAACTTCCAAATCCATGTAGGAATGAGAGAACTTTATTGAGCTTATTATAACTTTCCCCATTATGTTTTGTCGATGACCCAAATGTTTTCTGGTTTACGAGCTAGAGAATGAGGGTAGCACCTTTGTGGATTTTGTGAACTGGACTGTCTACTCCTTGCCAAAGAGAAATACAGATACAGGGTAAACGTTTTAGAGAGAGCACAATCACATTTTAGCCTATAATTAATTGAATCTTGTAGTACCGTGATCTACTGTTATCCATTCTTATATAAGTATCAATGGTTACCAGTGCCTCATTTGGTAGAAGAAAAGATGAGTTGAACAATTCCTCCATTTCGGTCATTCCTAACATCACCTCAGACACCTTAACTACTTTAGCAACTGTTATCTCAGCTACTAGCCAGCAATCCAGCCAAAATACCATCATCTGTCCCTTCTTCTCTTCCTCCTCTTCCATCCTTAATAGTGTTGTTTTCACAGGACCCGACTACCAGGGAAGGTAAGACTAAAAGGTATGCTTTCCTAAGTTTTCTGGCATCTTCAAGCCCAAGTTTAATATTCATTTCAAAGACTCATGAAGTTAGAAATATTCCTCAGTTTGTTTTTGCTGCATAGTGTCTTAAATTTTGTTAGCATACTTTTCTAAATTAAAGTCTTATCTTCGTATTTCATGCGCTACTAGATCTGTATGCATTGTTATTGCTAAGATTTTACAGTTCACGCAAGAGCTTGAATGGGTCTTGAAGTTTGATCAAGCCGAGGTCCATGCACCTTTAGGGCAACACAGACCTTCCTGTGTCATTTATTAAAAGCAATCTCGTGCTTCAAAATTTGTCATTTTCAGGTTCTTCTAGTTTACACTCCTATAAATGATTACCATTACAATTGGCTATATAGCTTTTTTTTGTAACATGCACGGATTTTTGCATTCATTCAAACTGTTACAATTTCTGAGTCACAGAAGAATATTCTCTTGTCCTTTTGCTTATTTTACTAGTCTCTACTGCACCACTTAGTGGATGTTGGAAGAATTGTCTTTAAGCTCCAGTACCAGAAATTTGCAGCTAAGAATTAAATGATGTATGCACAGATTCATTTGGTTAATCTTTTTTGTTTATATACAAACACACGATCAAAAATTTTAATATTATGATCAGAAGAATTATTGTTTAGGTGTGGATAAAAGATATTTGTGGGTGAATGTTTGAAATGTTTTGCCGAACTATGAAAGCCTCTGATTTTCCTGTCTATCTTATTTACAATTTCTTTATATGCTCAGTTGTTAGCTCTTGTCACTTAGGCAGAAATGGAATGAAGCGCTTCATTTATTGAAATCATTGAAAGGTCATTTGTGGTGAACAATTTAAAGTGGACTGTTCAACTAGCTTGCTGCATGAGTAAGGCCTTACTTAGAAAGCAGATGTGATTATAGATAACAGTGTGTAATGTATTGGATGCCAGTGAACTCCACTGTAGACCCCTAGTGTTTGTTTTCATTTTAGTTATCCTTTACATAGAGATTGCAGAATGGCCAATCAAGCAATGAAGAGATGTGGAACTGTGATTACATACTTCTAGGGCAAAAGGGAAGTAAGAGGGACAGTCATCATTTCAAGGGAAAGCCAAATCTTGGGCCAGTGATAAATAAATTGTTTTGCTTCTTATCATTACTCTGTCACTGCCTCTCCCTAATCATAACTAGAAATCCATTCGCCCAGGTAGTTCATCTGGGAGCATGGATTTGAATCTTACCATGACAGATTATGAAGTTTTGAATTGAATAAATAAATCTGACCATTATCAAATATTGTAAAAACCTATTTAATTCACAAATATCCTTTTGGGGAAAGAAACTAGTTTGGGAACTAGAGCAGTAGGTTAGGAAGTAATATGACCAACAAGAAGTTTCAGACCAAGGTCAGTAAGACTAAGAGGAAGAACAAAAAGTGGCATGGGTGAGGTCACTGAACACTGCGGAACTGGTTGTCTGAAATGTATTTTCTTCATGCAATGAGTATAGCAGGTAAAGCAGATTAACTTAGAGTTCAATGAAGATGTATAACAATGATGTTGTGGCTATTACAGAGACCTGGTTGAGAGAGACAAAATTGGCAGCTTAATGTTCTGAGATTTAGATGTTTCAGGTGTGATAGAGAGGGATATAAAAGATATGGGATATTGTGTTACTGATTAGGGAGAATATCACAACTGTGCTAAGGGAGGACACCATGGATGGCTTATCCAGAGAGGCCAAATGGTTTGAGCTCAGGAACTGGAAGGGTGCAATCACTTTGGGATTGTAGTACACACCTCCCAACAGCTATCGAATGATAGAGGAGCAGATACATGGACAGATTATGGAAAAATGTGAAAATAACAGCTTTGTTGTGATGGGTGATTTTAACTTCCCCGATATTGACTGTGACTTGCTTAGTGCCAGGGACTTGGATGGGGGAGAATTTCTTACGTATGTCCAGGATGATTTTTTTTGAAGCAATATGTAGATAGTCCAATTCAGGAAGGTGCCATTCTATTGGAAATGAACTCAACCAGGTGATCGAAGTTTCAGTCGGGGAATATTTCGGGAACTGTGACCATAATTCTGTAAGTTTTTAGTTACTTATGGTAAGGATAAGAGTAGTCCTCAGGTGAAAATACTAAATTGGAGAAGGATAACTACCACAACATTAGGCAGGAACTTGGGAATGTAGACTGGAGGCTGTTGTTTGAGAGTAAATCCATATCTAGTACAAGGACATCTTTAAAGGTCAATTGATTAGACTTCAGGACTAGCATGTTACGATGAAAATGAAGGATTAGGATGGCAAGATTCGGGAACCTTGGATGACGAGAAATTGAGAGCTGAGTAATAAAGAAAAAGTAGGCGTATGTAAGGCTTAGGAAACTAGAGATGGACAGAGCCCTTGAAGAATACTAAGATAGCAGAAAAGATCTCAACCAAGGAATTAGGAGGGCTAAAAAGAGCCATGAAATGTCTTTGGCAAACAGGATTAAGAAGAATCTGAAGGTATTTTCTACATATATAAGGAGCAAGAAGCTAAGTAGGGAAAAGATAGGTCCACTGGAGGACAAAGGAGGGAATGTATGCTTGGATTCTGAGGAAGTAAGTGATGTCATTAACAAATACTTTGCATTGGCATTCACAAAGGAGAAGGACAAGGTGGATAGCGAATCTCAGGAGGGGTATGTTGATGTTCTCGGGCTTGTCAGTATGAAAAAGGAAGAGGTGTTGGGTGTTTTAAAAAGCATCAAGGTAGACAAGTCCCTATCACCCGTATGATAGGATCTGTCCCAGAATGCTGAGGGAGACAGATGAGGAAATTGATGGGGCCTTATACAAAATCTTTGTATCCTTTTTAATC